TCGCTGAAATTTTGTGCTGAAATTACGTTCTACTTTCAAAGTTTATCTAATTAAGTTACAAAATGACAAAGTTGTAATTTTTTCAAACGTCGAATAAAGTTCTATATGGCAATCTATGAGGGAGACCTATGTTCAGCCGCGGCCTTTTGATACGCTGTAATGGATGAATTAATGATCAATAATTCTATTAATTAAATTCCTTTTTTGTACAAAAATATTTTCTGTTGATAAATGAAACATCTCATTCCTTTCCTTAGTAAATTATAAATTGATAACGCCTTCGCGGTCTTTTTTAATATGAAGACGGAGGCGTTATCAATATTAGGCGACTGACCTTCGTGCTTTATAGGCTCCTATGAAGACTTTCTACCCAATGTTTGTTTTACTATGAATATTTAGATGGAGTACCTAGTAGTATACTTAATATACGTGGTAGAGCCATGCTGCAGCTATATTAGTAGTATAGTTGTATCTCCTGTAAGACTGCATTACGCAGTAAGCAGGAGTGTTATCAAGCCTAGGCTGCGGCTTCGGCGACTCGGGATGTAAACACCAGCATACTTAAAAAGAAGTATAACTTCGCCTCCAGGTCCTTCAAAAGAGTTATTGCCAAGGCAAAATCAGAGCACATAGGCAGTAACTAACTAACTAACAGAAACTAGTTCGCCTTACTTCGGGAACCCGTGCATTATGGTCTCTCGCTAAGGCTGTCCAAGGGAATTTCTGTAAGCCATCACTACCATCTCTGCACAGGGAGGACGACCACTGGCCCACGACGCAAAAGAGAAAGCCGACCTTTTAGGCTCCCTATTTGCGTCCAACTCGACTGTTGATGACGGGGGTAACACACCGCCGACCATCCCACAGTGTGAGTGCTCCATGCCGGATGTGCGGTTCTCACAGCGCTCGGTTCGCAAGGCACTCCTTTCCCTGGACATCCACAAGTCGAGTGGGCCTGACGTAATCCCGCCAATTGTGCTGAGGATGTGTGCTCCGGAGTTGGCACTGGTTCTAACGCGTCTTTTCCGGTACTCCTACTCCCTAGGCGTAGTTCCGAAATCATGGAAGACAGCTTTTGTCCACCCGATCCCTAAAAAAGGCCGCTCAGACCCGTCCAACTACAGGCCTATCGCCATCACCCCCTTGTTCTCCAAAATAATGGAATCCGTTATAAACTGCCACTTCATGCGGTACCTCGAGGATCACAATACGGTTTTCGTCGGGGTCGATCAGCTGGTGATCTTCTGGTCTACTTAACTCATAGATGGGCGGAGGCAGTAGAGTCCAAGGGGGAGGCATTGGCCGTTAGTTTGGACATTGCGAAGGCCTTCGATCGGGTTTGGCACAAAGCGCTTCTTTCGAAGCTCCCTGCCTATGGGCTTCCCGAGAAATTATGCAATTGGATCACCAGCTTTCTTGCAGATCGGAGCATCAAGGTCATTGTAGACGGTGCATGCTCCGACTACAAGCCTATTAAAGCTGGTGTTCCACAAGGCTACGTGCTATCACCAACGCTGTTTCTTCTGCATATCAATGATATGTTGCAAACGGGTAGCATTCATTGCTATGCGGATAACAGCACTGGTGATGCTCTATACACCGGCCGTGCCAATATTTCTCGGGAAAACGTCACCGAGTACCGGAACAAACTTGTGTCTGAAGTCAAGTCTTTGCTGGACAAAGTTTCGGATTGGGGGCGACTAAATCTAGTCCAGTTTAATCCTCAGAAGACACAAGTTTGCGCGTTTACCGCTAAAAAGAACCCCTTTGTCGTATCTCCTCAGTTTCAAGGTACTCCCCTTGTTGCCTCAGCCAGTATTGGAATCCTCGGCGTCGACATATCGAGTGACGCGCAGTTCCGTGGTGACATGGAAGAGAAGGCCAAATTGGCCTCTAAAAAGCTTGGCGTGCTCAGCATAGCGGGGCGGTATTTCATGCCGGCTCAACGCCTGCAACTTTACAAGGCACAGGTTCGGCCTCACATGGAATACTGTTCCCATCTCTGGGCTGGGGCTCCCCAGTGCCAGCTCCTTCCACTTGACTGCATCCAGCGCAGAGCGGCTCGCATCGTTTCTTCCTCGCACAACTTCCTTGTGGAATAGTTTACCACCAGCGATTTTTCCGGACTGATACGACTTAGGGACCTTCAAGAAAAGAGCCTACTCCTTTTTAAAAGGCCGGCAACGCATCTGCAATTCCCCTGGTGTTGCGGTTGTTCATGGGCGGCGGTAGTCACTTACCATCAGATGAGCCGCATGCTCGTTTGCACCCTCTCCTATAAAAAAAAAAACAAGCACATAGTCCACCTGATGGTAAGTGGTTGCTGTGACCCATAGACAGATGTCTCAATAAAGAATCAAAATGCAGATGCGTCGTCACCCATGAGGACTAAGATGGAATGTCTCTTTTCCAGTAAAATTGGTCTACGACTCTCTACACTCATCACACACAAGAAACACAACAGCGTCAAGCTGCTATTTTACGCTGGTATTCTGTGAGAGCGTGGTCCTTCCCGGGTCGAGCCGAGCCATTCTTGCTACAACTATACTACTAATATAGCTACAACATGGCTCTACCATGGAAAAAATCTCTTGGCTTCTGAACTCGGAGCTTCAATTCTTCGATTCATATATGTCGTAACACGAACTTCAGAAGATAGTACATAATGTGAATATTTTTTCGTTTAATGAAGTCGATTTTTACTTTTTAACTTCAATTATTTGACCCACTTAAGTTGACTAAGCAATATTACAAGCTCAAGGTAAGACTAGACTAGAAAGTAATCTAAATAGATGCATTAACACTCACAATAATTGCATACACTCTTTTTGCACCCTTAGAGGCGGAATTTTTACTTAAATTTAAATGGATTTACCCTTGAGATAAAGTTATTTTACGAATTTACGTAATAAAGCACGTATCATTAACCTACTTACAAAAAATGTTGGTAATATACAAAAAAAAAAATTAAGAAACTCCCCTTTTTTGAAGTCTGCTAAAAATAAGAAAATAGTATAAATTGCAGTGTTGCTATCCTCATTATATAAGCGACTTTCTGTAGAGTTAAAATCAGTTAAAATAAAACGAATCATTCTGTGCTTGTTAACTCTCTGTGCAAGAGAGCGTGGACGGCAAATGCGATACCCCACAGACTAATAATGTGGCGGTAATGCTACGGCTAAGTTTTTATACCTACATATAATTACATTACACTTTCTGATATAAAAGTTAAATTTGACTAAGAATGTACGTGTTCTTGAGCTACTACGAAATATAATTACGTCACACAGTAAATGACGTTCTTGAAACCGTGTTTAACATCTAATACGTAAGAATACAAAATTTTTATTTCAAACGTTTGCACGAGTTTTACAAGATAATGCCATTTAGATATAGTTTAAAAAATATACAGTGGAAGGATGTAAGGGTCACTACGTTGCTAGCGATACGTTTTGCCAGCAACGCAAATTTCAAGAGTTAGTTGCGGTGAAAATTTTAGAGCACCAAATTTGTAAACTTGGCACCTAATTAGCACCTAACAAGGCCCTAATTTTGGCTTTTTCTAAATGCAAATTCCTGGCTTTGGTTGGCAGAAAAAAAATGTTGAAGAATTCAATTAATATAACTTAACCATTAAATATAATCCATCAGTGCCCTGCCCCTGGTAGCAGCGTCGACAAGTTTGGGCTCCATAGAATTTCATGTAAGAAAAGGGCTGGTAGGTTTTCACGGCACGGTTCTTTGAAAGATGTCCTCCGAAGGGCTCTTGTCTCTATAAATGTTCCCTTGGTTTTAGAGCCTTGTGGAATGTATAGAGACTATGGCAGGAGACCTGACGGTATGACATTGGTTCCTTGGGAGAGAGGTAAAGCCCTAGACTTGCGTAGATACTTTGCGGCCTCTCATCTCAGGGGTACCACGTTTAGAGCCGGGACGGCATCAGAGGCAGCTGAACTGAGTAAGTGGCGCAAATATCAGTCTCTAAGATATTCGTGCCATTTGCGGTGGCCACTATCGGTCCGCTGAAATTCCTAAAGGAACTCTACCCGCGACTGGTCGGTGCTGCTGCTGGTTCTTTCCTCGCTCAAAGCCTAAGTATAGCCATTCAGCGGTGAAACGCAGCCAGCGTTCTTGGCACGATACCGCGGGGAGTAGGACTGTATGATAATTAAGTTAGTAGTTTTAGCTTTTTTTTATTATAGTTTTTAATATTGTATATAGTAAAATATTGTATATTATGTTATGTAAATAAAAACTAAATATTTCGGATTTTAAATTAGAATTTTATTTAATTAAGCGATCCACACTCACTTCGCTTTTTCGTTTCAGAAGAAAGGTATCGCTCGTCGTTGCTTCATTCTTTATCGTAACATGTCCACATTCCAAAAAGTTTTTGTTTTGTTATGATTTGTTTCGGGAAATGATATGTTCATAATGATAAAGATCAAATGATCGTCTACATTGTTATAATAAAGGTTTAAGAAAAACTTTATGATGAATTTAGTTTTATTTTATGGATATTGGATTTCTTGAATCTTATTTTAAGTCCTTCTGATTTACCATTATTTCCCTTATTAATACTTTTTATAGCTATTACAAATAGGACTCTGGTGCGAATTTATCGTAAGTAAAGATATCATTAAGCATCAGTAATTAAAAAATTATTTGAGCAGATATTTTTGTAACAAATTAAACAAAGAAGATTGCGTAGGTGGCATGGCATACATTTTGATATTTTACCTTCAAGAAAATGACTTAGTGGTGAACGTATATTTTTACATATTTCTATGCATGACTTACCTTTTTCTTTGCATGTGTATTGATAAAACTTTAAAACCCTTCAATATAAGGCGTAAGGGGGAATTCTTTATTATCTTTACGGTTATTTTTTGTATAGCGCAGTCCTTCGTCATGGAAGGTACTAGCGCGAGCAGTGACATAAACTTTAAATTGACTAGAGTTACATTATTAGAAAAGATACGTTTTTTTTTATTTTGCAGAGGAGATGTCCCAATTTTACTTACCGTGGGGTTCCGGAGAACGATACACAAATCGCTTGCAAGTACGGAACCAATTCGCAAGTACCCTTGAGCTACACAAGCAATCCTCTTATGATTATCAAGAACCGGTGGTGGTGCAACGACAAAGAAGCCCCAGCCTGCCGCCCATTCATCACATTGAAATAGGTAAACAAACTAAAGAAGAACGAAGATCCAAAGAGTTTTTAAATCGTAATATTTCAAGTGCGAAGAGATTCGCATTTTACGACGAAGACGGCGAAGGCGATACTTCCGGATACGGAAGTGAAACTGTCAATCACATGAATATTACAAATCAATGTGGAAGCAACAACAATAACGATCCTGTAGTTGCGTGGCAACAAGATGGAAAGGAAACCAGGTACGTTACAAAATATCAGTCCTAGATGTTCTAGAAGTAGTGAACTTAAAACAATAATCGCACCTCTTAAATAGGTAATAATTCAATATAATTTAAAAAGAAAAATAACATATGAAACCTAAAAATATTTTAGAAACACAAAACTGATAACGTATGTATAACGCATTTGCGCATTTGTTTAAAGCATTGAACGAAGGTATTGTTATTGGTTTACCCAATTTATAAACATTTTATGTAAGAATATTATACTAAGAACATGTTTTAATAAAAAAGATAAAATTTTAGTTCCATTGGATTTAGATATACATTCACTGTTTCACAAAAATGTTCAACTTTTCCAAACGCGTCTCGATTTTACGATTGCAGAACACGCGATGCGATCTCATTTCAACGGTAATGGCGTGGCGAAAACTTAAAAAATAGATATTATATTTAACAGAAATCACTATTTATAAAATAGCTGGAAGTGTTTTATTACGTTCGGTTTAAAAAAAAAGGTATTATTTTGTCGTACGAGGTGTCGTAAGATGCGACAGAGAAAATGAAACAAGAGAATGGCGACCGGATTTTTCTTATAACAACTCGAATTAATAAAAAACTGCAGTTGATAAAACGCCTTCTAAGCTTTGAAAGTAAGGCAAATAACCCCCATGGGGCAGTCCATGGTGAAGGCTTATGTTCAACAATAGATCTTTGATAATATGTAATGAATGAATGAAAAGGTTTCTAACGATTCTCCTCTACGTTTCGGTTTCAGTTCTTTAAGTGCCGATTTCATACCGGTATTTTTAGAATCTTGTCAATTTCTGGACGAGCATTCCTAACCTAATATGTTTTTTTAGCGTCACGCTATGAAAATCAATGATCTTTAACAAACCGGGAAGTTAAACAGTTAAACAGATGTAACGATCAATTCCAAAATCTAATCAGCTCTTAAACTCAAAAAAAAAACGCCGTCGATTGCTGCTAATCGCATCGAAATCGGTTAATGCGTTGAAGAGAAATCATTAACGAAAAATTTCGAAAAAAGTATTTTTTTCAAATAACTGCAATTTCTTCTCGGATCGATCTTGATGTAATAAACTACTACTATGAAATATAACTGTAATATACTGGACTAAAATGGAATGCCCCTTGTCCAGTAAAAAGGGTATCAGGTTCCCTACACTCACCATACGAAACAAAGCAGCATTATAAGCTGCTATTTTACGCTGGTATTCTGTGGAGCGTGATCCTTCTCCGGTCGAGCCGACCCATTCGAGCTACAACTATACAATTAATATAGCTGCAGCCTGACTCTACCACGTATAAAAATGTGGTAGAGCCATGCTGCAGTATGTACTTTTAACAGCCTACACACGTCACGCAGTATGGCATATGTCTCCTCTGTTTTCTTGAAAAACGGACTTTATTTTCGAAGCAATTTTATTTTGTCAGATACACAGCTTTCACTAAAATATATCTACTTTAAAAAAAAATTCCAAATAGAAAACAAAATATAAGTGGGCGCGCCACAGTAAGAGATGGTTTATGGTCAGCACGTAGCCCAGGACCGGTGGAAGAAGGCCGACCTCGATGGGGGGATCGTGGAGTGGCTACGGGAAGGTTGTGGGAACCAACAGCACCTAACGCAAGACTGCCGCAGGTAAAATACATTTTATTAAATAAGTTTAACTTTATTGTTTCTTTTTTTTTTTGTTATGTTTTGGTCGCGTTTACTTTTTAATTTTTAAACGAATACCATTACAATGTTTTTACTGTAAAATATCCATTACGATTTTTTTACTGTAAAAGCAGGAAACGAAAGGTTCCGTGTAGTGGCGAGCAACCCACTACCCCATATCTCGCCGTGGGTGTCGTAAGAGGGGGCAGAGGGAAACTGAAGCAGAAGATGGGCAGCAGCATCTTTCTGACAACAGCAAAATAAAAATAAAAAACTGCGGTTGCCAACCCACGCGCTAAGCAACTATGTCAATATACCCCAATGAAGAAAGTTACAAAAAAACGGCCACCAGTCCCCGGTGGCTCCGCCTTTCCCGACTACAGAGGCGACTACGGTACACCGTTACCGTTACTCGACAAGACGTGCTAAGAATCTCCGGTGGAGGTTCGGTTACCACTAACGACAACTCGACCTGATAACATAAAACGCACGCACCCTGAGGACTGAAGAGAAGATCATGGAGCTGAAAGAAGAGATAGACAAGTTACGCTGGAATATTATAGGATTATCCAAAGTCCTAAGATAGGGGGAGAACACGGTAATCCTTGAATCCGGCAACTTGTTCATCTGTCCCAAGGAGGTGTCGGATTTGTCGTCCACAAGTCTCTCGTTAACAACGTTGTAAAGATTGGAAGTGTGTCAAGGAGGGTAGCGTACTTTATATTCAGAATTACCAAACGGTATTCGATGAAGGTCATACAGGTTTACGCACCAACCTCGGCACATCCCGATGAGGAGGTAGAGCAAAATGTATGAGGATAAATTTAGAGCCATGCATTCCTTTAAAACCAACTATACTGTGTTAATGGGCGACTTTAACGCAAAACTAGACACAAGAGAGAATGGTGAGCTGAAGGTAGGGAAAATTGGAATAGGGCAACGGAACCCAAGGAGCCAGCAGTTGGTTGACTTCATGGTGAAAGAGGGACTCTTTGTGATGAACTCTTTCTTCCAAAAGCAGCCCAACAGAAAGTGGACCTGGTTGAGCTCCGACAGTTCGACAAAAAATGAGTGACGACAGATGACAACTGTTCAGTGACGTCTCAGTGATCGCAAGTGACCTTCGGTGATCACTGCCAGACACTTGCGATCACTGAGGTAAGAGGTAAGAGGAACACTGAACTTAAACGTTAAGTTGGAGAGGTCACGTCTAATGAAGTCAACGCTCCCGTTCCCCTCGTGCTCTAATCCAAAGTCCCGAAAACTTTCAGCTCGAGTTACAAAATCGTTTTCAGTGCCTAAAAGATTGCAATGCAGTGAACGATATGAACGACAAGCTCGTGGAAACTGTCCATGCGTTCGGAGCTAAGTTCTGCAAGACTCGCCGCAGAAGAACACAAAAACTCTCCGATCACACTCTCAATATCATGGCTGTTAGATAGGAGATGAAGCTGAAGTGTTCAGCAGATTTGACAGCATACAGGCAACTAAACAGACAGATCTCCAAATACATGCTGCGAGACTTACGTAACTTTAATACAGCTCGTATTGAAGAAGCGATTGAGCGGAACCAGGGCTCCAATGTCTTTACATATCTCTAGTAAAGTCTGCCAGATAGAGACAACTGTCAAAGCTGAAGACCGAATTTGGCAGCATCCTTTCCGGGATACCTGAAATTTTGAGTGATATGGAGAGGTTCGATGGGCAGCTGTAGACATCATTGTTGGAGCCACAAACAAGTGTGGTCCGAGAGCAAGTTTTATCCGACACTATTCCGATGATATTCCGGACGTCAGTCTGAGCAAGATTAGAATGGCTCTCCAGTACCTTAAAAACGGCAAGACCCGGGTGAGAATGGAATTACAGCGAAGCTTCTGAAAGCGGGTGGAAAACCAGTACTTGAAGTCCTTCAAAAGTTCTTTAATTCCGTCCTGCATGGTGGTACTACACCGTAAACGTGGAGCAGAAGTGCGATGGTCTTGTTCTTCAAGAAGGGCGACAACACTCTCTTGAAGAACTACAGATTTCACTTCTGAGTCGCGTCTACGTGCTATTTTCGAGAGTCATTACGAATCGTTTCGCACGCAGACTCTACGTTTTCCAGCCTCCCGAACAAGCTGGTTTCCGAAAAGGTTTTAGCACCATAGACCACATTCATACCCTTCGGCAAATTGTACAGAAAACCGAGGAGTACTTTTTGCCACTATGTCTTGCGTATGGGCTATGAAAAACCCTATGATCCCGTCGAAATTTGGTCGGTGCTGCAGTCCTTTCAGCGGTGCCAAGTTGACTGTCGGTATATCGAAATGCTGAAGTGTTTGTACAGTAGGGCTACGATAGCCATCCGAGTACAGAACCAGAGTACGAAACCTATCCAACTGCAGAGAGGTGTTAGACAGGGTGCCCTTATAACGTCACACTCTGCATGATAAATTTACAAATGAGGATATCCGCAATAGAACCACAGTAACCGACATAGCCCAATAGATTAGTAAGCTAAGTGGCAATGGGCCGGCCATATAGCTCGAGGAACCGACAAACGATGGGGAAAAATGTTCTCGAGAGGCAGCCTCGTATCGGTAGGCGAAGTGTAGCGTGACCCCCCACGAGATGGAGTGACGACCTGGTAAGACATGCAGGAAGTCGATGGATGCAAGTGGCTCAGGACCGTGCTTTGTGGTATTCCTTGGGGGAGGCTTATGTTCAGCAGTGGACTTGTGAAGGGCTGTAATGATGATGATAATGAAAAGCAGGCTATGATAAAGAATCATTAGAAATACTGAGGGCTGGAGAGGTAGTTGTGGCAAGGCTGCGATAGACTTTCTTTAATTTATGTCTAAAATGCACAGAAAACCAGAAAGTTTTTTGGAAAAGACAAGATAGATTGTCTGAGGTTGCAAACCCGTGGCGTCGTTTCGATTGAGTGCGGAGTCATACAGGCATTAAATCTCTTTAGAGGGCCTCAAGTGCTTGTACAGACGGGTTTGGCATCTAAAAGGTGTGAGACATAGTTGTGTGGCTTCCCCGGGACTGTTCAATCTGTTTTATAGATAGTTGTTTAAAAAACTTTTAAAATGAAGAATGTGAGTATAGAATGGGTTAGCCGTCAAAAGCCTCTTGTACAATCAAGTCATATTTGCTTCATCGTCGAGCGAGTTGCAAATGATGGTTACAGGAATGAAATTGGACGGCTTTTGGAAAAGAAGAAAGTAAAATGTATGTAAAATAAGAATGAAGGCCGGGGGGGGGGGGGGGTAAGTAAGTAGATGAATTTGTATATTTACGTGTGTTTAGCAGAGATAGTTGACAAGTCTTCACTCTTCATTCTATTATGAGAAGGGTGATTAGTCTCCTTTTTTACCTCGGGATCCGTCTGAATAGGTATCACCCTCAATACTTATTACTGCCACAAAATAGCAATGCTTGCTATGTTCCGGTCAAAATTAGCCAGGATCATTACATGCTGTGAGACATTCCATGTTAGTCCTCAGAGATCTGAAGCTTTTTTTGTTTGACATACGTACAACGTATAGCAATTAACAATCATGTGTCAGTTCCTGTTTTACGGCATGGTAGCGAAAGATGGGTGTGGCAGAAAGAACATGACAATAAAATGAATACTTTAGAAACGCGATCGTTAAGAAGTATGTAATTGACTAAAATATTATTCTATTATATGCACTGAGATAATTTACATTGATTTTTATCATTGTTGATTCTCTAAAATATATAAAATAAATACACGTTGGTTATATTATGTTAATTAAAAATATTCAGTAAGGGGCTATTTTTCAAATTATCATAATTTTTGCTGGCATCGTTTAAAAAATTTGGGATTCTTTCTGAATTCAAAATTCCACCCTCTAAAATTTAATATTACCAAGGACAAAACTAATATTTATCAGGTATAATTAATATACTAATTTCTGATATATAGATGCAAAATCAAAAGAAAGGTACGCCGTCATGGGTGGAGCGTGGATTAAACATGATAGATAATGCATCAGATGTTCTAGTTATCGATCAAAGAAGTTCAACAAACTCAGGATTAGAATGCGATAGGTCTTCATGCAATGGAAGCGATGAAGGGAAGTATGTATTTTTATTAATTTTTTTTAACAACGCTAATACTAAGACAATTGTTTTAATAAAAAAATGTTTTACAGAACTTTTCTTAGGGGTCAAAATGTTCCTATAGAACCAGAAGTGAGAGCTCAACGTGAAAATAAACGTATTAAGGCCTTAGAACTTCAATCAGCTATTTTAAGCCAATTAGAAGATCGTGAAAAAAGACGCCAAGAAGAAAGAGAAAGGGAATTGAGAGAAGAACGTTTGGAAGAGTTACGTATACAGAGACAACAAGAAGAAGACAAGCTTAAACTCGAAGAAGAGAAAAGAAAAAATGAACAAAAGCAGGTATTGGAACAGCGTAAACTTGAAGCTTTAAAGAAGGCACTGGAAGAGGCGGAAAAAAAGGCAAAGACTGAAAAAGAGAAAAAATATATATGTCAAAAACAATTAGCGAATCCAGCAGCGACCGTATCTGAAGATGATAAAGTAAAATTATTTGAAAATACCATGACTGAAACTACCCTAAACAGCGAAATGACAAGTCCTACCAAAACTAGTAGAACTTATGAAATCAATTCTCCTAAAAGTCAGAAAAAGGACTGTAATTCCCGACAATCCGCTTTTAGCTCACCGAGATCTTTGGGTACCGGGAATGTTAACTTATTTATTCATAATGTACCACCAGTAGCACTTACAGATAGTCAATTCAATATTATACCTCTTGGTATTAATGGACATGGGGAAATCGTAAGTACCCAACCCAATAGCCTACAATTAGCAGTTTTAGTACCACAAAACCTTAGTAATAATTTATATGGTATATCAATAAATTCCCTTATCAATAATGATTTGACGGAGAAGCAGGGTAAAGTTCTTACGCCACAAAAGTACCGTACCTTAAAGACCAGAGATGTATTTACTCAAACTGAAACAGATTTATTACGTTACAAAGTCGATAAAAACGTTGAAACAATTGATATGGAAAGAGATATAGATAAAGACTATTCTAATATTGATGAGAATGCGCCACAAGATGGAAATCGTAATAATTTAAAAAAAGAGAGACGATTACGATCAGAGGAGAGATACAAAAAGGATATCGAAAATCGACCTAAATGGGGCGCCAATAAACCAATTGCACAATACAAAAAACAAAGCGAAAAAGATCCGTTTTACAGTCAAAAGCGAAAAATTCGGCAGAAATATCGACCACATGCACGGCAATATATGTCGCAATCTAGTGAAGATAGTCGTTCCCCAAGTCCCCCTACCAGATCAGAAAAAACAACAGAAAGTAATTTCAAACAACGCAATTCTCTAACTCAGTCATTTTGGAGAAAAAAACGATCCAATCAAGATTATTTGCGAAATAATAGCGGTATGGAAGCTTTAAATACTGATGTACCAGAGTTTTGTTCTCTTGACCAAATCACAGGTGACAAATCAGATCAAAATAAGTTAACGAAAAGGCTAACGTTATCACAAAAATTCATAAACGATAAATACGGGAGTAGAAAGTTATGGATGGAAGACATATGCGAAAGAAATACTAAATTCAATAACTATGAAGCGGAAAATTCTAAAATAAGTAGCGACAAACTCAACGGTACTAAAAGAGATAGCATAGATATTAACGAAGAACAAGAACATTTTGTAAAACTAAAACTTTGAGTTTATTATATTTAATAAAACAAAAATGATCTTAGTTTATCTAAGAGCACAATTTTTTATGTAGATGGCTGTGCAATTTATTGATAAAATTAGGTTACAGACATAAAGCTTGTTATCGATTTAACAGTTTCTAAGGAATAGGCTAAATGGGTGTTAAATCAATAAACTTATTTAGTTTGTATTGCATTATTGTATAGCGTACAAGTTCCTATAATAATGTCTAAATTGGACGACTTATTCGATAAAAAGAAAGATGAAGCGCCTATGCTTGATTTATCCAAAACCATAATTAATACTGCTGAAGAGTATAGAGCCGTTCTAGACAAAGTTCCGGAGTTCAAAACTAGACCCGAAAAGGTATTGTTTTGCTTATAATAAATATTATATTATATATTAATATTATGCATCCTGACTTTTGTGTTCATACAGAATTTCGTACGAAAAAGCGTTTATAGATCCGGAGCTAAAGCATCCCTTGAGAACCTGAATTACCTCCATGTTCCGTGATTTTCTTATAGCTTAATAGTTATGATTTAATATTGACTCTTTAATAAAACACGACTGAAATAACAATTTTGGTTATTTCGAAATGTGCTTATGTATAACTCTAAGGCAATTATAAATAAATGCCTGTATTTTTTTTTAATTTGAGAAAAAATATCGTAAGCTTTCACAAAAAGTTTAATTAAAAAAATCATTAAAAAGAATTGCTAGAAGGTGCAAAAGTTTTGCATAGCTTAGTAAATAAAATTGCAGGCATTTAACTAACTTTTTCACTTCGAGCAAAAATGGTTTGCAAGTTGTATTTCAGTGAAAATTTATAAAAGAAAATTAATACCTGCTAAATGAGGTTAAATTGACTGTGGCAAAATATACATGGGTGTGATTCAGGTTGTACTCCGAAAAAGTTTTACTTCTGATTTACCGTTTGAAACTTTTTCTTGGGACAACGTATATAATATTTATCGCTTAGGTGAAAGCTGAAGATATTAAAATCAAAGATAAACCGGAGGACCAAAAAACAAAGACACCTAAAAAAGAAATAAGGGCATATGAAAAACTTGGGACCCGTGGATATGAAGATAAACACTTCACCTTCATGGATCCGGTACCGGTAGAAATGCGGGGCTTGAAATTTGAAGAGCTATGTGCCGTACCAATAGAGTGGCGAATGCTTACGTCTGTTAGACCTAAGTCTAAACTGGATGAAGAATATTTCAATAGGTGAGTTTGACGGCACGAGTGTATAATAATGTTAGGTATAAGTAGCTCAATTTAAACACTAGATATAAGAAAAGCAAGTTAAAAGTGATATCACTTTCAGGTTAATTGAATTGCGCAAGTCGGAACTAAGAACCAAGGCCCGAGACAAGAGGGAACTCGCAAAAAACAATATGATTAGAAAAACGAAAAATCGTTCAGGCGTGACGGAAACAAGAATCTTGTCTTGCTCGGAGTGCGGGGAAGAATACTGCAATGGTAAGTGGAATGTAATTTTTTATGTTACCATTATATTTAATACTTTGTATGATAACATAAAAAATAAGCAATCCTTTTAATTTTTAGGCTGTCACGACATTCCTTTTGATATATTTACCGCAGATTTAAACCAGTATTTGATATTAAAAAAGTAAATCTTAAGCATACTTTTTTTACAAATAAGTACACAGCCCAACTGGTAAGTAAATGATGTGGTGCATAGACCTACTTACTTACTTACATCTCGATTAAGAAAAAAAAAACAGTTATGCTGCCACACTTTAAGTAAAAGATGGAATGCCTCCTTACCAGTAAAAAGGGTCTCCGGCAATTTTACACTATTTCTACACGTTGTCCTTTCCCCGTTCAAGCCGTCCCATCCTTGTTGATAAAGTACAGCTGTACAACTGCAGCGTGGCTGGCTCTAGCACATACTACTACTCTTTACTACTCACTTACGTACATTAATTCGTCGCAATTATCAAAAGCCGCCATAGCTATCTGCCTTTCTGAGTAGGTCGTCACTTCATCTAATGAAGAGCACACTTTATTCTCATAGATTGCTGGTTCTTCAAGCTAAATAACTGTTGCGCGCCACAATTAATACATGGTACATGGCGACACTAGTTACCACTAGCGCCCTCTCGTATCGAGTAGCACAACTAGGAGAGTCAAGAACATTCTAGAAATTTCCATGGAAGAACTTTCTAGAACCGACACCTAGTTAAATCGGGACCGATATGTACTCGAACATTCTAGAAGTTTCTACAGTAGAAGGATCTGGAAACTGAGGCCCTATATAAGGCCGGTATAGTCCGCGACCGGGTCAGTATTGAATTGGCGATACAAGCGAATAGGTACTTCGAAGCGATACAACTGCGGACTAAAGTGATCAATAGTACAATTGTTTTTTATTATTAGTGTCGTTTTAAGTTGAGTGTTCTGTAATTAAAGTGTCAATTTTGGTAATTCAATCGACAATTTTTAATTGTCTCGAACCCCAAGCTCGTAACATAACCAAGCCATGGCGCAGAACTTTGACCATAGACTCTTCCAATTTTTCGACATACATTTTTTTTTAAAAACGTTACCCCCACACTAGGATTTTCTCCTGTATTGTGGAAGCAGTTTACAAACATAAATTGCACAAGGACAAACATCCAGACCCGGAACAATTATTTGTAGGCCATACAAATACTTGTTCCGTGCAGAATTCGAACCCGCGGCACCCAGCGCAACAACTCATTGCTAAGCCACTGCGCCACGGAGCCTTTCTTTTAGTTTTTTGTTATTCCAATTCTAGGTTTTATCAGCCAAACCACTAGAAGTTTTAGATTTAGAGATATTATTTGTTTGTATAATACACTGCTTCATAGTCGTCTTGATTATGCATGTATCACAAGGGACCCTCATCATTCCTCATTACAGCCCTTCACAAGTCCACTGCTAAGCATAAGCCTTCTCATGGAATGCCACAAAGCACGGTCCTGAGCCACCTGCATCCATCTACTTCCTGCATGCCTTACCAGGTTGTCACTCCATCTAGTGGGGTGACGCCCTACACTTCGTGCGCCGGTACGAGGCCGCCACTCGAGAACGTTTTTTATCCCCATCGGTTGTCGGTTCTTCGAACTATATGGCCGGCCCATCGCCATTTCACCTTACTAATTCATTGGGCTATGTCGGTCACTCTGGTTCTACTGCGGATATCCTCATTTCTAAGTTTATCACGCAGAGAAACCCCAAGCATAGCCTTCTCCATAGCTCGCTGAGCGACCTTGAGTTTCCTCATACGGCCAGCAATGAAGGACCACGTCTCAGTTCCATAGGTCATCACTGGCAACATGCACTGGTTGTACAGTCTCGTTTTCATATTTTGAGGTATACCTAACGAGAACATGTGCCGTAATTTCCCGAACGCTGCAAAGTCGAGTTGAATCCGTCAGTTGACCTCTCGGTCGAAATTGGACTTACCTAGTCGGACTATTTGTCCCAGGTAAACATACTCGTCAACAACTTCGAGCTTAGTACTCCCAATAACTACAGGCATAGGTGTGACATGAACGTCAATCATGATTTTTATTTTGTCCATGTTCATCTAAGACCTGTCCGTTGGGAGGCACTATTGAGGTCATAGAGCATAGTGCTTAGGTCTTCCAACGATTCTGCCATAAGGACTATATCGTCGGCAAATCGAAGGTGAGTGATGTACTCGCCATTGATGTTCATACCGTATACTTTCCAGTCCAGAAACTTGAAAACGTCTTCCAATGCAGCAGTGAAGAGTTTCGGGGATATAAATAACGTCACCCTGTCTTACACCTCTCTGCAGTTGGCTAGGTTTCGTACTCTGGTTCTGTACTCGGATAGTCATCGTAGCCCTACTGTACAAATACTTCAACACTTCGATATACCGAAAGTCACCTTGGCACCGCTGAAGGGACTGCAGCACCGCCAAAACATCGACGAAATCAAAGGCTTTCTCATAAGTCCACATACGTCAGACATAGTAGCCAATTGTACTCCTCGGACTTCTGTACAACTTGCCGAAGGGTATGTATGGGGTCTATGGTGCTAAAGGCTATTGGGAAACCTTCTTGTTTGAGAGGCTGAAAGTCTTCGAGTCTGCATGCGAGACCATTCGTAATGACACTCGAAAACAGCACGTAGACGCGGCTCAGAAGGGAATGAACTAGACCACTGCACTACTGCTCCACGCCTCCAGTGTAGTGCCACCATGGAGGATGGAATTAAAGAGCTTCTGAAGGACTTCAAGTATCGGTTTTCCACCGGCTTTCAGAAACTTCGCTGTAATTCCATTCTCGCCTGAGATGGCTCTTGCCGTTTTTAAGGTGCTGGATAGCCCTTCTAATCTCGCTCAGACTGACGTCCGGAAAATCATCGGAATAGTTTCGGATAAGACTTGCTATCGGATCGTTACTCACACTTGCGTGTGGCTCCAACGATGATGTGTACAGCTGCCCATTGAAACTCTCAATCTCACTCAAAATCTCAGGTGTCTCGGAAACGACGCTGCCACACTTGGTCTTCAGCTTCGTTAGTTGACTTTTTCTCACAGACAGATCTCTAGTAAAGACATTGGAGCCCTGGTTCCGCTCGATCCCTTCTTCAATACGAGCAGTATTAAAGTTGCGTAAGTCTCGTCGCATGCATTTGGAGATCTGTCTGTTCAGTTGCCTGTATGCTGTAAAATGTTCTGAAGACTGCAGCTTCATTTTCCGTCTAACAGCCATGAGATTAAGAGTGTGATCGGAGAGTTTTTGTGATCTTCTGCGGCGGGTCTTGCAAAACTTAGCTCCGACCACATGTACAGCAGCATTGCAATCTTCTAGGCACTGAAAACGGTTTTGAAGCTCGAGCTGAAAGGTTTCGGGCCTCTCACCGTTCGGTGACAGCTATTGGTTTTCACCCTCGTGATCACTACGACATCACTGAACAGTTGTCGTCTGGTCGTCATATTGAAGTCAATCTCATTTTTTGTCGAACCGTCGGGGCTCGACCAGGTCCACTTCCTGTGGGGCCGCTTCGGGAAGAAAGAATTCATCATAAAGAGTCCCTCTTTCTCCATGAAGTCGGTCACTTGGGTCCCGTTGCAAATTTCCCTACTTTCAACTCAACGTTCTCTCTTGTAGTATCCTAGTTTTGGGTTGAAGTCTCCCATTAACACCGTATAGTGGGTTTTGGAAACACGCATGGCTCTAGATATATTCTCATATATTTCCTCCACCTCCTCATCACGATGTGCCGAGGTTGGTGCGTAAACCTGTATGGCCATCAGCGAATACCGTTTGGTGCTTCTGAGTATAAGGTACGCAACCTTCGTCGACACATTCTTAATCTTTACAACGTTGTTAACGAGAGACTTGTGGACGATAAATCCGACACCTCATTGGGACAGATGATAGAACTCCTCCATTCCTCCTGGTGATAGAACAAGTTGCCGGATTCGAGGATTACCATGTCCTCCCCCTCTCTTCGGACCTCAGATAATCCTCTAATATTCCAGCGCAAGAATAGCGGGCCGCCGGGGACTGGGGGCCGTCCCTTCGTAACTTTAATCATGGGGGGTTTATTGCCATATTTGCCACGCTTGGCGAGCGGGTTGGCAACCGCAGTTTTTTATTGTTGTTTTGCTGTTATTAGAAAGATACTGCTGCCCATCTTCTGCCTCAGTTTCCCTCTGTCGCCTCTTACGACACCCACGGGAAGATATGGGGTAGGGGGTATTCTTACCCGCCACGCCACTTTATAATAAACAATCTCTGCAAGACTATTCGGCGGCGGTTCACAAAACATAATATTTTGTTTATTACTCCCACTTTTCTCACAAACCACCAAACAAATTAAGTTTAAAAAAGGTCAAAATGTTGTCTCTTCGCAATCGACATATTTGTTAAGATTTATAATTTATAAAGATTTTATCCAGTGCTATAACGTGTGGTCACTATCAAGAAAATTTCACTGTCGTTGTACCTACGTTGTACCCTGCAAATAGCCTAGATACCCTATAAGAAAACCTTTACTCCATCAACTCATATCTCATACTAATGTCAGCTGTTGGTCTTCTCTCAGTGAGATAAGTACGCATGAAGAACGGTCCGATCTCTTTAACGATTCCTTTCATAGTTTTAAGAGAGAAATTATTATATAAAATCCTAGTTTATCATAGATATCATGTGTTTTAGAATAGTACCTATTTTTATACGTTTTTTATATATTTTTACGTGTATATTTTAATTTCATATGTGCTATGTAGGTATAAGCACTCGCCGTAACTTTCACATTACGCAAGCCCGGTATTGATATCCGCCATTAGTAATAAAATTGTTAATTGAAATTTTAAATGTCGATTCACCACGTGCTCGTCGGTATCCGGCTTTTCACTTTTCAGGTGTAATTTGTATTAAGGTATTAAAATATGAAATACTCGTATCAATAAAAATTAGTATTAAGGTTTTAATTTTAATGTCAGTAGTTGTTTAAATAAACAAATACATAAAGTGCCATCGTATATAGATATTTTTATAACACCCACATCGTAAGCCACGTTAAGCACTTACATAACTATTAACAGAAGCAAATATCAGATTTAATAACCGCAACAGTGCTCTCTCGTAAGCTTGTAACTAATATCTAGAACCTAGGCAATAACACTAACGTAATATTACCACAGTAAATTTCACTTACTAATGCAATCGAATTTCATTTTAATATTCTAATTTGATCAATAAAAATAAAACGTAATTATACATAATCTTTATCTATATAATATATCTACCTACATCTATACATATAATAAAACTGTAAATAGCAGATGTCTGTACATTTTATATTTTTGTAATAAAAGTGATTGAGGGGTACTAAAAATAAGTAATTAAATACATTTCTACCATTTTTAGAATTTTCTGTCTGTCTGTCTGTCTGTTTGTTTGTTAACGTATCACGTATAAAGTACTAATTTATATCATAAGAATTGTTAAGGAAATTATAAAGTGTATCTTCGGGTTACATTTAGTCTTTATTTCATTAAAATCAGTTCATTCCATCAAAAGTTATGATAAATATTCTGAAGTATGGGTAGGGAAGTATAGGTACGAATTTGCTCAACGGTGGCTTTGTTTGAGTCATCAAGTGCATTTTAAACTAATATCATATCATAAATCATAGTTAAATTATGTAAAATAATGATATAATTACGTATATCTAAAACGCAGTAAACAAAAGTATTAAAGAACGTATTAAATATATTATACAAAAAAATATTAACGTTATTAACTAAATCTGAAGCACAATAGTTAACCCATTTCTTCGATAGATGGTGGTGTTGTGAAAATGTTATGCAATTGCAATGCGGTTTTTTCCTGTAGATGAGTTTTCATATTTACTGCTAATCATTATTATATTACTCGCTGCCCTATTGCGTTTTGACAAACTCAATTTATTCTTTACCGCCGAGTACTCTATGTGGTAAATCAAATTTTAAAAGAGCTATTAACAATTGCGTTGGTTTTGGCGAGAGTCAAACTTTATTTTTTGCTTACTGTGCAGGCACTGATTTATAAGTTCTCTTGCGTTTTATATAATGTATCAATCGCGTCAATTAATCTCTTTTATTTTTAGAATTGATGTTAGCAGTGCCATCTCTCTTTAAATATATACATATAATAAAAATGATGATAACATGTTGTGTCTCTTTCTGTACATTGTATATATATTTTGGTGGCTAAAATCATTATGGGGAACTGAAAATAATTAAATAAGAACATTTTTAATTTTTAGAATTGTCTGTCTGTCTATTTGTCTGTTATTATATGAACGCATCACGTCTAAAGTAAACATCTTTTATTTTCAAAGAAATCGTTAAGAAAATCATAAAGCGTATCTTCGAGTAGCATTTAATCTTTCTTTTATTAAAATTGGTTAATTCTATCGAAAGTAATGATTATTATTTTGAAATATAGGTTCGAATTTGTTCAATGGCGCCATAAAATCTCAGAAATAGTAATAAAAAGATTTGTGTGTAAAAAAAACGTTCCATAATAATTAATATATTTATACTTAAAACACAAAAAGAGATTTAAAAAGGATGTTTTCTCACACAAAGGACGTAATAGATGGAGTTGTACAAATTACAAACTTTTCTGAATTGCTGTGTTGAGATTTTTCGCCGGAACACACAACACAACAACGGAACCCGACCAATAATAAAATTTTGCAACGAAATGTCGTGATATTGTATTTATAATATACGCAAAATCAGTACTGCCATTTTAGCGCCTTGGGAACTAGATTTAGCGCTTTTTTGGAATGTATAGCGTGCATTTCGAAATTTTAGCACCTAGCTTAATCCAGCGCTTTTTGGTGTATTTAGCACACATTTCAATATTTTAGCGACTAGCGGGTTATTAACTCTTTTATAGCAGCACTGTTAGTCCACATTACCGATAATAATAATAATGACCTTTATTATTTTTTCCCACAAATAGTACATTGCAGTTTATCTTTTTCAAACATATTTTTTCCACAAAACAAAGAGCATGGGAGACGAGTCCAAACTAGGATACCCTGTGCTATGGATCTCCTGGCTTCCCCTTTAGGATGATCAACTTGATTTTTTTACCGACGACTATAAGCGGGGAAATCCCCTTTATTAAAGTTTTCGTTCATGGTTTTGGCAACGCATTTATTTTGCTTTAGTTTCAGTCAGTTGCTTAGAGCACAGCTAAGTTAAAAGTTACTTAGAAGTTATATCACAAAGAAACTGTGTAGCAACCGCAATCAGATGCTGACATCTGAAACTAAGTTGCGAAATACATTGCACTTCAAAACAATTAATGACATTTTTATTGTTCGTACAGTACTAACTACTGTTGACAGCAATTGCCACAAAGAGTATAATAAGTATATACAGGAAAAGAGAGCCCTCTGACGATATTTTATTGCAGACAAAATTGAACTACTAGCGTCTCCTACAAATTGAATCCGAACTAATTCGCTATATATAGCTATATTATGTACATCATATTAATTTAACTATTATGTTCTTTAATTCGCATACTTACTGAAACAATTTTTACTTTTTTTTGTAAAATAATTTATACTTTTAATATTAAAAGTAGGTAAATAGTTTCAATAAGTACACTTGTATTTGTGAGATAATAATATATAAAAAGGGTATTTGCGATGTTACAGGAATGACAATTTAATATGACAATTATTTCATTTTTTATTTTTATTTTTTATTATAAAATGCTGGTTGCCAGTATCATAATTGTCATATTTATCGATTGATTCGATAATTATTACGTGTTTTTATGTTAAAATTATAATTTTTTATAAATAAAATCACCAATAATTTTTTGGTGCACTTATTTTTATTTTGTAAGTAAATTTCATTTTATTTTTCCAAAGTAGCGACATCTGTGAAGCCATAAGACCAACTATAAACAAATTATTTTTGGAAACAAGTTATGGATGGCGCCACCATCCATTAAATTTTTGTGGTTCAAGGCAACTGTCCTACGCCTGAATTGCCATAATTATAAGTCGATGTCCTGCGAAGTATTGATACATCAAAAAAATATTTCCAGAAAAAAACTTAATGTTGTTTTCTTTATTATGATTATATTAAAAAAACACAAATTTGTTTGTAGTTAATTTAGCGCGAAATCTAGGGCTTTTTTAAAGCGCTGTTTTCATGAAATCTAGCGCTTTTGTGTTGTCCTAGAGCTTAATGAGTTTTTTTTTATCTGGCAGGACTGCCCAAAAACCCTCTATTAAGAAGTAACTTTCCTTTCAGTTTTAAGCACGTTCAGTTCCCAGTTACAGTGAGCATGTGTTATGCGATGACCGTAAATAAAGCGCAAGGTCAAACTTTACGCGTTGTAGGAGTGTACCTCAGTACTGACTGTTTTGCACATGGCCAACTCTATGTTGCTTTTTCCCGCGTTAGTAGCCCCCGTAACCTTTTTGTGTACACCCCGGCTAAGCCTACTTCTAACGTCGTTTACACAGAAGCTCTATCATAAACGACTTAGAACTTTGATGATAATGATTTATTTAGTTACCACTTATTGATACAGTAATGAAATAAATCGTTTAATATTCTCTTACCTAAACGACAAATTCTTTATGTAAAACCTGTATACGCGAGCTACGCCGCGGGCACAGCTAGTATAAAATAAATACCTTAATGTTCGTTTGTTCAGAATATTAAATCGCCGGAAGTTCTTTACCGATTGTTTTGAAAATTTCACGCAACGTTGAATTCGAATCGCACATTTTTTTTAAATTTCGAAAAACTTTTTAAGGCACAGAAAGCCGGATCCAGATAGTGTCATATATTATAATCATTGGTGCGCCTGGCACCTGTTAGGAATGAATAATCAGACCGCACAGAATTATTCTCATATTATTATCACGTTGCTTAAATACATTACCATAATCATTACAGACCTCCTAATAATGCCTAATGAAACACAAGATAACTTAATTTAATTTGCTTACTTTAAAAAAAAGCTAAAATGACAAACGAACTTACAATCTAATCCCAAATTGTAATATGCCATTTAAAAAACAAATAAAAGACCTGAGGGTTTCTTCTTCGAGAAGGTTTTGCATTTCGAACCGTTGTAGATTTTGTCGTTCATAAGAGCCAAAGAGATTTAAATATATTTAAATGTCATTGATAAGAGCTTTAATCAAGCCTAAATTGAATAAAATGTTTCGACTTTGAATAAGAACCAAAGCTATGAACTAATCCTGAGCCATTGTATCCATCTACTTCTTGCGTATCGTGTCATATCATCTACGAGTATTGTCAAGTCACCTTACACCGCGCCCACCATTACAAGCACGTTAATTATGAAACAACCCTTCTTCTACAACTGCCCTAGGCGCGCTTATTGTTCTGCAAAGATTTAGAAAACTTTCTCGTACAATAAATCAATAATTCAAATTTTAAAATAAAGTAAATGTCTGAAGTAGTTTTTTACGTGGTAGAGCCATGCTGCAGCTATATTAGTAGTATAGTTGTAGCACGAATGGGTCGGCTCGACCGGGGAAGGACCACGCTCTCACAGAATACCAGCGTAAAATAGCAGCTTAACACTGCTGTGTTTCGTATGGTGAGTTTAGAGAACTGGAGACCCTTTCTACTGGAAAAGAGGCGTTCCATCTTAGTAATCACGGGTGACAACGTTTCTGCATTTTGATTCGCAAACGAAGATAGACGTAGATATCTATGGGCCACAGCAACCACTTACCATCGGGTGGACTGTGTGCTCGTTTGTCACATAAAAAAAGCAGTTAGTCTGCCGTGCTGCTCTAGTGCTTGTTCACATGTCTTCGAAACATTTTATTCCACAGATATGTTAACAATTTTATTTGTGGCGACGAGTATTGAACGCGGATCATTCACGTACGATGAAATTTACACATTTGTAAATTTTCAGGTACAATGTGCAACATAACAAATTACGATATGTTTGCCCGTGTGAAATTGGAGGTTGAGCCAAAGGTGACACGACATGTGGCGCCACCCCACGCTCCTGGCAAACTACGAAAGCTGCGCAAGAAGATAAGAAGGAAGCCCCGCAGCAAGAGCGCCGCGCCACCGTTGATACACAAAGCCTCTAGAAACAAGACTGGGACTAAAAGCGACTCGGAACTTTAAAACCTTTTGAATGGTGAAAACTGAAAAGCGTTAAGTTTTAGCAAAAGAAATTCTTTTAATTTTATAACTATTTCGTTTTGGGATAATAGGTATAGCTATTACACATAACCAATTATTAGATATTTTTTGTTAATCAAATGATTAAAAAAATTCTACTAATTAATTGGACATAGTTACGCAAAAAGGATCCAATGTAATTTGTGTCAAAAATGTTCAGTTGAATTATGTGATGCAACAATTTTAGCGAAAGTAACACAAATAAGAAGAAAAATTACAAATACATACACACACACACACACACACACACACACACAAGCCATACAGATCCATTCTTCAAATTTCATAACCTCAAATTAGCTTGATTTTTTAGGGTTGGATCCTTTTGGTATAACCACGTCCAATTTTAGAAAAGAAATACCCAACGTGGGTATTTTAGATAAGAACTGCGCTAACAATACCTATATTAGAACCTACTCCATATTCCGGTAAAAGGATATCTAATAATATATTTTATTTATTCGGCTGTTAGGCTTAATTTAGTCGGCTACAACTACTATGCGTATGATACATAACTATCATATATCATAGGGATGACAAGGTACACTAGTTATATGCATAACTAGTGTACCTTGTCATCCCTTCCCAATCTTCTTTCCCTACTCATCAGTATTTTAACCTCACGCATGTATATGAGTAAAGGCATTTTATACACACTCAATTATCAATCATCTACAAGAAACACTCCTAGCAAAAAAACTCAGCAAAAGATAGAAATATTACCAATACAGCTAAAGTATATTAGTGTTTTACTTTGGTAAAATTGCAACAAAACACTAAAATAAAATTACTCTAGAAAATTCCCGTCTAACATAGGGAGATTTATGTCGCTGTCACAAAGTATTTTTCCTGAAACCTGAAAGTCGTAACCGAACGCTTAGCCATTACATAGATTCCTACTAATATTATTATCAGATCTGGTTGAAAGTCATACGAGACCACTGTAGAGTATTATATATAATTGTTTTCCATTTAAACCTCGAGAAATCGGTAAACTAAACCATGTGTTATAAAGGATTACCGTCATAATATATAAGCTCATCACCGAAATTATTTTACCGAAATATACCCTCCCACAAGCTATTATAATGTAAAAAATAGGTACCTACCTACTTTCCTAGACGCACAGTGGCTTTCTATTGCGTGTACCAGGCCTTAAGACTTGCAAAGATCAGCAACGTTTTCAATGTACACTTTTTAAATAAAAAAAAATGTCGTCACTTCTATTTTTGTATGTTTTGCTATTTAATATGCTACCTATTACTTTAATGATTAATTTGGCATACTTGTGTTAATAGACTACATATTATGCAATAATTTAAAATTAAAAAATTTGTTCAACCGACTTCAATATAAATTATTAAGAATAACTCAAAAACTCTTGGTCAGACCTTGATCAAATTTATAAGTGAAGCACCACATGTGATCACGTGTCAGGCACCAGCTTTCAAATAAAAAAAGAATCATGGAAATCAGTCCACCCAGTAAAAAGTTATGAGGTAACATACATAAAAAAACATAGTCGAATTGAGTACCGTCTGCTTTTTGAAGTCGGTAGAAAATTAAAACATCGTACATTATAATATGGTAAATTACTACATTGGTGCTTAGTGCTTATCATTTAAATTATTATTGTTAAATTCGTACATTTAATATTATTTGTACTAAAGAAATGCTCGAGGTAAATAACGCAACTTCATGATCCCTTATTATATTTGCTAGTACGTCCCAATTTAAATCTAAGTACTTATACCAGGAAAGCAAAGCACTATCCTGAGCCTCTTGCATCCATCGACTTCCACCAGGTCGTCTGTCACTCTCCATGTAGAGAAGGGCCGACCTGCATTTCACATTCCTTGGGGGAAGCATATTTTCAGCAGTGGACTTCTGAAGGGCTGTAGTGATGATGATGATGACTTTTACAAAGTAGGTACAAACAATCCCAATTTTCTAATTGATATTGACAATTTTTATTCATTAATACTCTTAGCGTTACATTAAAAATACGAATATGTACATATCACAATTACTTAAATCACTCACTACTATGACAGATTTAATAATGTTATCTACTATTCCCTAAAATAAAGCATAATAATTTATGTAACTACATTATTACTTTATGTGGTGCCCTCGTGTATTAAGTAATGGGACACTTGCATAGTTATAACAATTATGATGTCATTCCATGTGTACTCATTAATGTAAGAGCCTAATAAAATAAATAAATAAATATTGTAGTCGTCGATATTAATAATGATTCAACTGTTGTTACTTGACAGCAGGGTGTCCAGGGTATCTTGATGAATACACAAATCAAAATTATATTGCAAAAAGAACAAGAGTGAATACAATAATATTAATCATTGAATATGTACTATGGAAAATCGCTTGTATAATGTAGAGTCGCTTAATGAGATATCAGATATCTTATAAATTATATGAGTATCAGAGATTAAAACTTATAGGTATTGTTCACAATAACAATAACACATTTTTTAAATAGTTGATTAAAAATAAATTTATTAACTCATTTGTACATAAACTTTTTTACTAATACTAATTCTTTTGTATTTATGTCATAGTTTATAAGTATTTAACTTTATACTTATTTAAATTATTACATTTGTAAGAAATAAAAATTCGTTTTAATTGTCGCCTTATTTCAATACCTATAGGATAAGGGTGACAAAGGAGAACACAGTCCAGAAACGGTTGCTGTGGCCCATAGATATCTACATCTATTCTCGCTTACGAATCAGAATGCAGATGCGTTGTCACCCGTGAGGACTAAGATGGAATGCCTCGTTTCCAGTAAAAATTAGTCTCCAGTTCTCTACACTCACCATACAAAACACAGCAGCGTTACGCTGCTATAATACACTGGTATTCTGCGAGAACGTGATCCTTCCCCGGTCGAGGCGACCCTTTCGTGCTACAACTACACTACTAATATAGCTGCAGCATGGCTCTACCACGTATAAAAGTTGTTAGTCTCTCTTGTTGTCTTAAGTAGATATTCATTTATTTTACTTAGTTTGTATCATCCATATATCTACTAGTACGACGTGTATACCGTCCGGTACCTATCACCACGCAGCTCTCCGTACCTAAGCGCTCGCCGTAGATTACCCACTACACGCGCAGTACGCGAGTGCTCGAATGGATTCGATCCCCGCCGACAAAAATGGTTCAAATTCATAAATTCAATCTCCTTTTTGGAAGTCGGCAGAAAAGTGTTCAAGATTATAGTTTCTAGAGATGTTACCAAAAAAAAAAACCTTAATCTAAATGGAGAAATACATCATATTCCCTATTTTGATATAACTTTAAAATTTCTAACAATAATATGGAAACAAAGTTCCTCTTTAGGTTTAATAAAACGTTACAATTTGAGTGATGTTTATTTCCATTTGGGTATGAGTCACAACAAAAACAACTAAGAATTTATGCCAACATTTATAATAATATTATTTGTACTCGTAAATATGGTAAGATTTTTAAAAACTTCTAGTACAATATAGTCCTGCCTTTACAGAGTTCTAGCGTGTTACATAATTTCCAGTGTGTTGCTTACGATTTTGTGTGTTACTCTTTCTAGAGCGTTATGGTAGAAATTTTGTGAGCCCCTCCCATATCGTCATTTTTCGGGAGTTACAAGATATCTTCGGCATTTTAACCGATTTCAAAAAGAAGAAGGTTCTCAATTCGATTGTACCTGTTTTTTTTGTATGTATGTTATGCGGTATCCTCGCAGATTGTGAACGAATTTTGATTATTATTTTTTTTATTAAATAGGTTATACCTCAATTGTGGTCCCAAATAAATTTGGCAAAAATATTCACCCATAAGGGTAGCAAATATATAACTTATTTTTTAGCAATGTGAAGTCGGTTATTATTTTGTTAAAAGTCATAATTATTTTCCATAGCCGCTTCTTGCGACATTGACGAGAAGAAATACGGTGATGGATTCTCATTCACTACCCCAATTTACCCGTGGTATCGGGTGAATTGGGTTAGCGGTTATACTTACACTGTCACTATGCGGTTTATTATTATTTAATAACATTCTATATTTAATTATATTTTATGCTTTAAAGTTTATTACACAAATTCATTTCTGATGGTGTCGTAAGGCGAAACCGGTCAAGATACATGATGTGTCAATCCCACATATAAAATTTCTATTCTTAAACGGGAGTAACTAAAATACACGCCATCTTCTAACCGTGGACGTTTAGCTAAAATGTACACTTCAGTGGCATATTGCATTTTCAGTATGATCTATCCCCTGTTCCAAGGCGATAGTGAAGTAATATTCTATAAGAAACGTAAGGCAAACGCGAACTATTGTCATGTTTCATACACGCTCAACAACTCATCATCAGCTGGTTATACCGAGCGTATTATGCAGTGCTGTCGTGCCAATTAATAAACTGCCCAAGAAGATTATCTAAACGTTCACGTCTGACGTCACGTCAGTGACACATATGTACATGTTATGTAATTACAAGGTGTGGTAAGCGTGAACGGTCAGGGGGCTGGCGGCGAGGTTGGGGGCCCTATCCGTTCTTGCGATAAGCCGGAATATAAAAAATCAAACAATAAGAACATAATCAATATCAATCTTTATTGATTTTAAAAAAATATAGTACACATTCGTTACGTTCCAGAGTTGTATGAAACAATAACATTCTCATGAACAACCGTTTAAACACCACGGCTCATTTAAATCTCACTTGTGCCTGGTATTTATTGCACTCATTATCATGCTACAATGTATGAACTTAAAGCAAAAATATTTTAATTTTACATCTAATGTATGTACTTGTTATGGATATATGAATTTAAGTGTTTATCTATATTACTTTTCTCAGTCCCTAAGTACTACTTTGATTAAGTAACTCACATCAAATTAAATAATAAAGGGCTTGTAGAAAT